GACGCTCTTCCGATCTCCCCAAAACCCCAAAACCCCAAATCATAATATTTAGTTTGAATATTGCAATCCAGAAAGGTTTAAATAATTATGAGTATTGATCGAGATTATTAATTGTGCTCTTTATAGCCATTGTAACATTTTTTGCTCATAGGAAGAATCTACTAGGTGAGAATGGCTTAGTATCAGGAAGGGAAGTCGCTTTTCCTTGCATTATCTCTTCAGATAAGAGCTTACTAGTTGCTAAACCAATTGTTGTTCCTCTGCCTGCATGCCCAGCATTTAGAAATACATTTGGGTAAAATCTAAGTCCTCCAATCAAAGGGGCATCATCAGGGGGCACTGGTCTTAAGCAAGTGTTGAGATTCTTATATTGATGGACTTCCTTTTTATCTAATCTCTCGATTAAGGTATTCTTAAGGAATCTTACTCTGCGGGGATCAAATGATTTGTCTTAACCAGATAAATCTCCAAAAGCTGCTATTCTCAAATATCCTGGTTCAAGATACGTAGCTACGAAGGCAATATCTCTAAATCCCAAATGAGTCTTCTAGTTTGGTAGATCAGTAGGAATATCCATTGTGTAACCTTTTACTGGAATAACTGGACAAATTAATCTAAAATTCTCTCTGAGTAGTCTAGCAATAAATGATCCTGCACAAAGCACAACTGCATCACAGTTTATTACTTCTTTTTTCCCTCTCACTTTCACTCCTCTAACAAGATGTTTTTCAGCATCATCAAAGATAAAGTATTCAAGCTCGTGTTAATACAAGACTTTCACATTAGGTCTGTTTTCCTTTAAAAATGAGTCTAATTTTTGGCAGAATATTTGAGTATTAAGTGTGTAATAAGGATTAATAACAGCGTAATGATATTTCTTTAGTCCTTCAAATTTAGGGAATTTGTTGAATACCCTTTCAGACATTTCTTAATTCCCAAAAATAACATCTTAAATAGCTCCATCTGGTACTGGAGGGAGAGCTTTTGCCAACTTTTCAAATGCTTTAGGTAAATCTATGCCTTAAAGTTTTCCAAGATGGTAAAAGACTGAGTCTTTTTCATAGTTAATTGATTTTGGATCAATATTAGCATCAACTAACAGTTTATCAAGTAAAATTTCCTGTAGATCATTGAGTTTCATCATATTGGTAGAAAGGACATCTCTATTTTACCAAAGCCAATACCAAAAGAATTTTACCATGCCTGGCTCTTGCATAGCTTTCGTAAGATAAATTGCTTGTGAAGTATCAGATCTCCAAATTCCTCGCAATACTCCCATTAATGGCTTGTAAGTCCATGGAACTGAATTATATCTCATTACTAGACATCCATTTTGAGTGGAGCACTCTTAAGCGCATCTCTCACTTTTATCGATAAGAATGACCTCATTTTCTGGATGCTAGCTCAAATAGTAAGCTGTACTTAGCCCTACAATTCCAGCTCCAACTACCACTATCTTTTTATGCTTTTGCTCATGAATCATCGGGTTTGGAGGAGTCCTGCACAAAAAGTTATTGTAAAAAGACCAGGTTCCTGAACCTGCACAGTAAACCATACCTAACTTTAATAATTTCCTCATTTTTATCACAAATTATGGTAATAATTAAACAATTGATATATTTCAAATTATTATACTCACTTATTTTTATCCAAATTTTTCATTATGGGGTTTTGGGGTTTTGGGGTTTTGGGG